GTAGTGGTGGTGGTGGTGGGGGTAGTTGCAGCAGCAGCAGCAGCAGCAGCAGCAGCAGTCAGGGCGCAGCAGCAGAAAACGGGAATGGGAGAGGAAATAACTGCAGCAATAACTGCAGCAGCAGCAGCAGCAGCAGCAACTGCAGCAACAGCAACAGCAACAGCAACAGCAGCAATAGCAGCAGCAAAAGGAGCAGCAGCAAGAGTAAAAGAAGCAGCAACATGCTATCGGCGAAGCCGACCCACGTAGGTTATGAATTCACTACAAAAAAAAACAGCAGCAGCAGCAGCAGCAGCAGCAGCAGAAGCAGCAGCAGCAGCAGCAGCAGAAGCAGCAGAAGCAGAAGCAGCAGAAGCAGCAGCAGCTGCTGCAGCTGTTTATTTATTATTTTGTTTGTTTTCTGTGTTGTGGTGTACACGCAGATAATGAAGGGCCGAAGGGCAGCTTCCGTCTGCAGCGGCAGCAGCAGCAGCAACAGCAACAGCAGCAGCAGCAGCAGCAGCAGCAGCAGCAATGCTAGAGAGCTGCTGCACAGCAACACAGCTCGGGATGCCTCAGGGGACGAAGCATCTCTTGATGAGACAGCCACGGGCTCTAGTGTACGTACACCTGTTGCTGCTGCTGCTGCTGTTGCTGCTGCTGCTGCTGCTGCTGTTGCTGCTGCTGCTGCTGCTGCTTCTGCTGCTAGGGCAACCGCAGCTGCTGGTGTTGTTTTCTGCTGTCGTTGCTGCCGCCACTGCTGCTGCTGTTGCTGCTGCTGCTACTGCTGTTGATGCTTCTGTTTGCCTTATGCTGCTTGTGCTGCTGCTGCTGTTGCTGCTGCTGCTGCTGCTGCTGCTGCTGCTGCTGCTGCTGCTGCTGTGTGTGCAGCATAGCAGCCTGATGAGTGTGGGGGGCAGCCCGAGGGCGGGGGGGCTGAGGCGGACCTTCTCCTGGCGGCGGCTTAAAGACAAACTAAGAAGATAAATAAAATAAATAAAAATAAAAATAAATAAAATAAAATAAAATAAAATAAAATAAAAAGAAGCTGCAGGAAAAGAAAAAGGAGAAGCAGAAACA